TAGGGGATAAAAATTCCTGCTTATGTCATAGAAGCACACAGTAGGGTTTGGTCTTGTTCCTGTTTCCGAGGCTTTATAATTTTTTAGGTTTGGAATCAAAGGTGGTTCTTGGTCAGAAAAGAGCAGTATAACCACTTCAGAAAAGAAATCGGTTAGCTGTCACTAGCAATCTAGGCAGAGTGGAGGCAGATTAATAAAGATACAAAGAAAAAAAAAGAAAATAAATAAATAAATAAATAAATAAAGATACAAAGAAGGCATGATAGTAGGATTCAGAATCATGGACTATAATGAAATGTTTGTTCATATTCGTGGTGCTGAAAGTCTGTGGGGTTGACTGTGACCTTGGGTGGACTTTTCTTCTGGTAGGATGAGGGTGGCTGCATAGAGGGCCTTTCTGCAGGCACTGCGAACACTATACAACTGGATATTAAGAGCAGGTCATGGTTTAGGACACTTGGGTGGGACTATAGAAGGTAGGTTGCAGGACTGTACTGTCTCAGGGAAAGATATGCAAGCCAGACAGTAATTTTAAAAAGAGGTTAAGTAATCAAAGCAAACGTTTGAAAATCAGAGAGATAATTACACACCTCATTAAGTAAGTTTTGGCTTCTCTTCCTGTAGGAGTGTCCCTCTACAGTCATTTTATTGCTTGGGGATTGTTAACTCCTCTTCTGCATCTGATGCAATCAGCCTTTCTTTAAGAGTTGCCACTGAGCATATACAAAAGAAGAGTCTAATGTCCCAAGAAAAACAATGTCAGTTTCTTGGATCTCCTTGAGCGTAAGAATCATCCTAATATGTTTTTCTCGAATATCTCCAGATATTCTTTGTTTGTTTGTCTTTGTTTTTGGTTTTTGGAGAGGTTTTTGCTATAGGGTGCGTGCGTTGCCAGAAAGACAGAGAGAGGCAGAGAAACAGAAAGCGAGAAATCACCCCGCAGAGGGGATGGCCATGCCTCAATCCCTTCTCCTCCATTCTCCTCTCGGGATCTTGGGCACGCACGCACAGGCCCCAGGCGTGAGTTTAAGCCACCAGGTCTGGGACTTGAACCACGGTCGGCTACATGGGAGTCCAGAGGCATAGCCATTACACTAACTGCTGGTCCCCAGATAATCTTTAAATGATCATGAAAAGAGGAGACTTCTTTCTCCCTCACTCTTTTTTATTTCTCATTATATTTTCTCAAGAACTTCAATACACTTCTCCAAAAAAGAAAAAAATAATAATAACATGGTCGAAGTAACCTATCACTATGTGCTACTTTCATTGATCAAGTGACATAAAATGCACTAACATATTTAGACTTTCAGATTAAATCAAATATTTTCCTGAAGCAAGATATGACACTTTCTCCACATCCCGCTAATCAGACCCTCCAGATTCTCTAAAGCCAATGGAGATCTGAGATGGTAACTGCATTGCAGAGAATCCTGTTGGAAAATAAAACAACCCAAACCTGGGTTGTTCCAAATAGTGGGCACCACAAATGCAATTCACCTGAAACTCTTAAAATGACTTGATAAGCACTCTGGTTACTTAAAATGTGCACCTCGAGACCTTTTTACCTACTCTGAGATTCCCCCCTTCTCCATAAGAAGCTTGAATTAACTGGAGAATTGTCTCAGCTGTATGTCCAGGGTCTCGTTCAAGTTGAGGACTTTGGCGTTCTCTAATGACAACTGATGGGATGCTTGAATGAATAGGGTCAGCACCATTTCCACGTCCATTTCATGTCGTCTGTCACATAGCTCTAGCCACTCTCTTTACCTATATTATTAGACTCCTGTCCCCACACTCAACATCTCTCTACGTCATGCTTACAACGCATTCTTCCTCAATCTGCTTCCCCTTAGTCTCAATGATCTCAAGTGAGTTTTTGTGACATGGAAATGCTTCCCTTAATTTTTTTTTAACAATTATAATTATAAATACTCCCAACAGTGACAACCAAGGCCATATTTTTACATACAATGGTTCTTTAAATTGAGCATAGAATGTTCTGAGATTGGTGATATAGTTTTAATGAAGCCTGCATCACTGTGGCTACTTGGGATTCACCAGGATGCCAATAACTCCTGTCTTTCACATGTCTAAGCCATGGACCCTGGGTGGGCACTATCAGCAAGTTCTCATAGCTCTTCAGTCATGTTACACTCTTCTCCTGTAGAATTTACCTCCAACCGACCTCTTTAATTTTTCTTTTTTTTTTTTTTTTGAGAGGTTTTTCCTATAGGGCATGTGCACTCGCCAGACAGACAGAGAGAGACAGAGACATAGAAAGTGAGAAATCACCCCCCAGAGGGGATGGCCACACCGCAATCCCTTCTCCATTCTCCTCTCGGGATCTTGGGCACGCATGCATTGCACTCGCCAGACAAACAGAGAGAGACAGAGACATAGAAAGTGAGAAATCACCCCCCAGAGGGGATGGCCACACCGCAATCCCTTCTCCTCCATTCTCCTCTCGGGATCTTGAGCACGCACGCACACGCACCCGGCGTGAGTTTAAGCCACCAAGTCCGGGACTCGAACCGTGGTCGACTACGTGGAAGTCCAGCGACATAGCCATTACCGTAACTGCTGGTCCCCCGACCTTTTTAACTTTTGAAGGAAGCAAACATTTTGACCTCTTGTTCCCTCTCTAAAGAATCCAATCTGAGCTATCCTGTGGCCTACTGGTTAAACGGAACTTGATTCCACATAACTGATAGCACGGTTTGAATATTAACCCAGAGGTGTGAAAAACACATGAGGCATGTGTGTGTGCCTGCCAAAAAGTCCTTACAGGTTAGAGATATGGAAAAGGGATTGTAGAATGATTACACCACATTGGGGAATGCTCTTTCTCTTTCCGCCCCTTTCAATCAAGTGCGTACGCCCTCTGGCAAACTAAAAAATAAACAAATAAATTCTCTGAATAACCTCTCTTCAATTATTCAAAGAACTAGTCTAATTGCCCGGATGAATTTTCCCATTCTGAATACACTGTATATTGGTTCAGTCAAAGATATTATTATACATATTATCATCAACAGATAGTTTTTATTTTTATTTTTTAATTCGTTTTTTTAATATATTAAAATCATGTTATTTAGCTTACAAAGTGAATATTCCAACATGTGTACATTTCTCCCTAGTCCAATTGATAAAATTATCTTCAACAGATAATATCACATTTCTTTGTCCCATTAATGCTTTTCCTGTCTATTTTTCTCCTAAATGTCCTTCCTCAGACTCTACTCTTTCACTCACACTATATCTGGTATTCACAACCATATACTGTGTTTCGATAATTTTATGTTTTTATGTCCCTTAGATGTTTTGCTTCTTTCTTTACTTTTTAATCATCTCTTCCACTTTTCTCTATATCCCGGCAGTATGGAGGGGTGGTTAAGAGCTCTGGGGTGATGTTACTTTCCTTTAACACAGCTCTGTCCTTAAATTCCTCCAGAATCTTCTTTCTTGGCTGCTATGAATCTTTGTATTTAACTTATTTCTCATATCACTTTCAAGATTCTGTCACCAGGGACTAGCAGGTGGCATAATGGTTACTTTACTGGATTTCCACGTAGTCGACCATGGTTCAAGTTCCAGACCTGGTGGCTTGAAACTCATGTTGGGGATAGGTGTGTGCCCAGTATCCTAAGAAGAGAATGGAGGAGAGGGATTGTGGCATGGCCATCCCCCTTAGGGAGTGATTTCTCACTTTTTGTCTCTTTGTCTCTCTCAGGTGAGTGCACTCACCCTATGGCAAAAAAATAATGTTCTCGCCAATATCTTCCCTGAAATTTCTTCTTACTCCAAGGCTATCTGAAGAGTGTTTCCCCAATTTTTCAATTTGTTCCATCTTTATGGTACTCCAGAATGACTAGTTGATTTTTTTAGTAATTTCCATAGTTTTACTGCTTATTTTTAAAAATATATATTCAATAATGACATAAATGTATAAACATACTTTGTATGTATGTTTATACATAAACAAGCTCATGGCAGGGCCAGACAGACAACACCATGTACTTGGTGCAACACTCCTGGTGTGGCCTGTCTTTTCCTTGTCCCTTTATCCAATGGCTCAGCCCACAGATTTAATCAGGGTGGAGCAGTGAGGGTCAATCCATCTCTCTTCCTGCTTTTCATTTCTACTCAATACTACAAGGGTTACCTCATGAGAAAGGACTAAAGAAGTGAATACAATTTATTTTGCAAGTAATAAAAGAGCAATTATCCTGTTTGTAAACACTAATTTCTGATGTAGCATTTCTCAATGTTTGCAACATTCTAATTACAGAAAATGATTTCACATGGCAGATTTTTAAAATTCTAATTATTATATTAGTCTACATTTGAACATTCTTAACTTGACTTTCAAACTTCTCCTGTTATATATAAATTTTCCTAGAATTACTGTAATTACTGAATTAAAAGTTTATAGATTTGAAAGCAATTTCAATGAAAACTAAGTATGTAATAATGTTGGCAATATGCAAATGTAAGAATAGTGGTGTGGAACCACTGAAGTTTGAGAAACACTTCCCTAATATGAGGAGACTTGAAAAGGTTCATTTTAAACTGAATTAAAGTTGAAATTTAATTATATGAAAAAAAAAATGAAATTCAGGGAACCAGCAGTTAGCGTAATGGCTATGTCGCTGGACTCCCACGTAGTCGACCGCGGTTCGTGTCCCGGACCCGGTGGCTTAAAACTCACGCTGGGTGCATGTGCGCGCGTGCCCAAGATCCCGAGAGGATAATGGAGGAGAAGGGATTGCGGCATGACCATCCCCCCTGGGGGGTGATTTCTCGCTTTCTGTGTCTATGTCTCTCTCTGTCTGGCGAGCGCACGCGCCCTACAGTGAAAATCTCTCCAAAAAAAAAAATGAAATTCATGAAGAGTCTGTTGTTTTTTTGTTTTTTATATAATACTCATTTTCAATGAACTCTTTGAATACTCCTCCAGGTCCTTCCAGAATTACTTACTTTCTGCCTAAGAAACTTACCTGACACAAAACAGCACAAAATGTTTTCTATTTTCTGACTCTCAGGACACCTTCTGAAGGCTGCATACTCCACACATTCTGAACTCTAGAAATAAAGACAAGCTTCAACATACACAAAAGCTCAGAAGAATGTAAGCTAGTATTTTAAGTTTACACAGACACATACATGACTGGCTATGAATCTTAAAGAGAAAAGAGTTTGGCAGAATTCAAAAGATCAGATGTCTATAACACTGCAAATATATGTCTTTCCTCTGTTTCTTCTTAGGCTCGAAGTCCCTCAAATCAAGGAGTTCATGTTTCTATATTTTTCTATTTGTTCAATGTCTGTCTTGTCCCCATATCTCCTCACCAACCATATTAGCAGAAACCCCACCTCCACCACCAAATGTAAGCTACAGAAATACAGAACTGAGCCCTTGTTTTGCTCTTACCAATGTATCTTCATGATTAGAATAAAGCTTAGTAAATATAAAGGTTTAGTTAGTTGATCCGTGCATTAAATAATCTACTTCTCTCTCCTCAAACTCTTTATATAGTAAGATCATCAAAAATCTTTCCTAGGGGCCCAGCAGGTGGCATGGTGGTTAAGGCACTGGACACTCCCACATGGCCAACCATGGTTCGAGTCCCAGACCTGGTGGCTCTCTTTCTCTCTCTTTCTCTTTCTTTCTCTCTCTCTCTCTCTCTCTCTCTCTCTCTCTCTCTCTCTCTCTCTCTCTCTCTCTCTCTCTCTCGTCAAATTAAAATAAATGAATGAATAAATAAAATTTTAAAAATCTTTCCTAAGTCCAGCCTCTGTGGTATAGTCTGCAGCATGCTGGACTGCAGAACTGGAAGCTACATGTTGACTATGGTTAGAGTTCCCAATTCGACCAGCCCGAAAACAAGCCAACTGTGTGCACGTGTACAGAATCTGGCATGACTGAAGAATTGGAGGAAGAGGATTTCAGAGTGACTAAGCCCTATGGAGAGTGCTTCATATTCTCTCTCTCTCTCTCTCTCTCTCTCTCTCTCTCTCTCACCTTCTCTCCCTTACATACTCTATCATGAATTATAATTTTTAAAAAAATTTTTCCTAGAATATAGTTCTCCAGAGGAAGAAGAAACAAGATTAAGATAGGATAAATAAGGGATAATCCCTCCCTTTGCTCTCCTGCTGAGCTCTAAGCAGGGCAGAAACACTGATTCACCAAAGCTCCCACTCAGGAGACAAGACATCTGACACTGTCCCTTGCCAAGAAACAGGAAATTTTACGTGAGATCAGCATTGTTCATGACTGCTCAGAAATAAAGCCACCACCCTCAATAGCTTGGGAACAGGTATTTACAAACCATGTCATCCCCATTGAGTCCACGATTGTTGAGACATAGACTCCTGAACGCGCCAAGGGACTTTCCCTAGTAGAAGTGACTCCTCATAACACACCCAAACATAATCTCTTAAAGGAAGGTGCGGCTTCCACAATTCAAAATTTATGAGGCATTTGCCTAAATCTGTATCACAGTGTCAGGAACGTCAAGCTCTGAGAACACACCCCACAAAGGGGAGGTGGCTGCCCAGTTGTCAGAGGAAGGAAAGCCTAAATCCAATTCAAGAATAACTAGTTCAGTAGGTGGGTGAAAGTGAAAGCCAACAGAAAACCTTTCCTTCACCACAGCCCCACTCTATGATGCACCTAAAATATGGGAGTAAGAGGAACCCTCCTAATGGAGGGACAGAAATAAAAATGAAAGGATAGCTAGCTGTAGATAAATGTAAGTAGATACAGTGTGTGAATAATAACGATGTGTGAGGTTCAAAGTGTGTATAATTCAACTGCATGGCAACATAAGACCCTAGGACTGAGGTAGTAAAGCTAAAGCATTCTCAGGTTCCTAGAGTTTTTTTGAAAAGGAATGTAAATATAGAGACTTACCAGATTACAGGAAGTCAAGGATGCATATTATTTAGAGAACCTGCTAAAAGAGCAGTAAAACAATATATCACCAAAAAGTTAAGGTGGCCCAGCTGTGGTGGCACAAGTGGTAGAGAACCACCACATTAGTCTCATGGAGTCTCTGAGTTTGGGTCACTGATTGGCCTGGTACAGTGGCACATGCCTGCAAGCCTGGCTAACTAGAAAGCTAGGGCAGGCAGTTTGCAATAGCAAAACCTGATCAAAAAATCTCTCCCTCTCTCCCTTCCTCCTCTTCATCTTCCTTCTTTTTATTTTTTTCTTTCTTTCTCCACCCTCCACCTCTCAAAAGAAAAAAGCGTAATGGGGAGGAAATAACAATAATAAACTACATTTGATTAACATCTGAAGTAAGAGAGGAGAGATTAAAGAAAACAGAAGATCTACGGGACCAGCAGTTAGCATAATGGCTATGTCGCTGGACTCCCACGTAGTTGACCAGGGTTCGTGTCCGGGACCTAGTGGCTTAAAACTCACGCCAGGCACCTATGTGTGCGTGCCCAAGATCCCGAGAGGAGAATGGAAGAGAAGGGATTGCGGCATGGCCATCCCCCCTGGGGGCGGTGATTTCTCGCTTTCTGTCTCTCTCTCTCTCTCTCTCTCTCTCTCTCTCTGTCTGGCGAGCGCACACGCCCTATAGCAAAAACCTCTCAAAAAAAAAAAAAAAGAATACGGAAGATCTAGAAAAGTTCTGCTTCCACCAAGGATATTAAAAGCTAGAGAAAGCTTCCCCCACACCCTAACAAAAAGTAAAAGCCTCATAACCTATAAAAGCACAGAATATATCAAACCCATGAGAGTAGAAGTTTAGAAAAGCTTTAAGCTACTGGTTGAGAGGCCTTGGGATGCAGAGAAATTTCTATTGTGGACAGAGTAAAATGTAGAAGAAAAAAATCTACTCATGGGAAGATTTAGAAAAAGTTTTAGTCTCAAATTCCTATGCCAATATCATGAAGAATCTTTTATAGTAGAAGAGAAATTCTCTCACATAAAGTCTACCAACAATGGAAAGAAGAGCTTGGCTTCTACAGGAAAGAGGCACAAGTCCACTGCAAAAAGTTCCACACTGAAGATACAGGCAGTCAGGGTCCGCCAAAAACTAAGGAGGAACTAGGAAATCAACGGCATCCTTGTTCCTTTACCAGGCTAATAAGAAACAAGCAGTCTTCGTATCCCTCCTCTTCCCCCGGCCCCACTCCTCCACACACACCACATCTGGCATTCACATCCACCTCTTGTGTTTGTACATCCTTTAGCCCATCAGTTTCAGTTATAGAGTGCGGACATTCAGTATATATTAAGTGGGAATATACAGTGTCTCTCCTTCATAGCCTGGCTTGCTTCACTCAGCAGAAATGTTCATATATTGAAATGTTCGCCTTGTAAGCTAAATAATGTGGTTGAATGTATTAAAAATGTAAATTAAAGAAATAAATAAATAAAATAAATAAAAAAGAAACAAGCAGTAGTAGTCTATCACCAAAAGAGAGGTAAGAGCATGGAAAGAGACCAACTTGATGGTGTAGCTGTACCAGGAAGGCTTAAAGCAATGGGTGGAGCAGGAAAACAGAAAAAACCTCCAACACCCCAGTTACCACCCTAAACACAAGGGAATTCTAGAGGAACTTGAAACCTGTGGTGCTTAGAGCGTAACCACAACAAGAACAAATTGCAAATTCAGCTCAACTCCTCAGAAGATGGACAGAATCCCTGTACTAACAATGTAGTGGCCACAAAGTGTAAGTAGTATGCTATTTTCTAGACATAAATAGTATTTTTTAACTTAAAAAATTTTAATTCATGATAGAGCACATGTGTGTGAGAGAGACATGAGAACCCTCCACAACTCCACAAAGTCTGGTCATACCACACACATGCCCAGCATATTGTAGGCTGACCAGGGCAGGGACTGGAACTGGGATCACCATGTAGGTGCTGACTTCTCTTGAGCAGCACATTGCCTCTGTCCCACAGAGCCAGCCTAAGACATAAATACTGAGAGAACAAAAAAAAAGAAAAAAAAAAAAAAGGGAGGACACTTCAAAAATAAGGCAAGATGACTTCATCAGTAATATAACAATTCTAGGCCAGCCGAGGTGGTGCAGCAGTAACACAATGTCCAGAATGCTGAAGCCATTGAACGGTCTCAAAGTCTCCTGGTACACACAGGGTATATGTGGGTGCCTGTAATCCTGGCTGGCTGAGACTGGGGGTGGTGTATTATGGTGTGAGGACCCTGTTGAGGGTCACTCTCTTTCTTTCTGAAGAAAGAAATAAATAAATTTTAATACATGGCACACACGAGTACCCAAGATAGGCTGAAGGATTGGAGGAGTGGAATTACATCGTGACCAGATCCCTTTCCCCCTTTGGAAGATGATCACTTCTCTTCTCTTCTCTTCTCTTCTCTTCTCTTCTCTTCTCTTCTCTTTTCTTCTTCCTCTCTCTCTCTCTCTCTCTCTCTTTCTCTCTCTCTCCCCTCCCCCATCTTTCTCTAATGTGCATGTGCATGTACATATGCTCTATCCTAATCAAATAAAAGATGAAATAAACTTTAAATACATATGTCTGTGAGTATACATATGTAACACAATCCCAGACTTGTATGAACAAAATAATACAATTAAAAATACATTGCAAAACAGAAATAAAGACCAGGACGGAGGTGGCATGGTGGTTAAGGCAATGTCGCCAACTGTGGTTCAAGTGCCAGACCTGGTGGCGAGCTTTCTCACTTTCTCTGTCTGTCTGTCTGTCTCTCTCTCTGCCTCTCTCTGGTAAGCACACTTATCCTATACAATAAAACAAAAAAGAGAATATAAAACAAATTAAGATCAAAATGAATTTAAAAAGATTGTCACATATACAGAAGACATAGTTGTCTACATAAAATAAAACTAAATTAATTTACAGATAAATTACTTAGAACAATATAAAATTTGGGGACGAGAAGATGAAGTAATGGTTACATTGCTGGACTCCCATGTAGTCGACCACAGTTTGGGTCCTAGACTCGGTGGCTTAAAAGTCATGCTGGGCACATGTGCATGCGTGCCCAAAATTCTGACAGGAGAATAAAGAGGAGACTGTGGTATTGCCATCCCCCCCCGCTCTCCAAGGGGGTGATTTCCCACTTTCTATATAAAATTTGTATAGTCGACTGGCTCAGTATAGAAAGACAATCACATCTGTACACACAACCACCTAGAAAATGTTAATATTTTAAGTTAAAACATGAACTATTTATAATATTCGTGTATTAGACTGCTAGAGTTGTCATAAGGAAATTTCAGTGGGTGCTTGCTCCCTCTGCTGTCATTCTGAAAATTCACCTGTTACAAGTTTCTTATAGCTGTGATTTGTTTGTTTTTTTGTTTTGTTTTGTTTTTTTTTGCTACAAATTTACTTCTGAGACCCCTCTAATGATCACTTTGGCTCCAAATGCAATCAGTGGAGGACAATAAGGAGTAGGTAGTGTATAGATATACTACTGAAGTTTTTATACAAACTTTGTATCCAGTGACTTTAGTAAATGTATATATCTTTCAAGGAATTTATTTAATGTATTGGCATAAAGTTGGTTTCAATACTGTATTATGATAGTTTTCAGTATGTAATATATATAAAGTCTTGGTGAATTTTCTAGTGCATTCCTGACATTAGTGATTTGTACCATCTCTCTCTCACTCTCCTCTCTCTCTCTTTTTGACTGCTTAAAAATATTTTCTTATTCTAGCTAGAATTTTATTTTGTTTTATTAATAATTTTATAAAAGAACCAACTTTTGTTTTTATTGATTATTCTCTTTAAAAATTAAAAAAAATTTCATTGATTTCTGTTCTGTTTTTACTTTCTTCGTTCTGCCCAACTTGAATTTAATTTTGTTTTCTGATGTAAGCATTTACTGCTATAAATTACCCTCTAATTTAGCTTTGTCCCCTGACTTGTATATTGTTTTCTTTATAATTCAGTTAAAAATACTTTCTAATTTCTTTTGTAAGTTCTTTTATTGTTCTTTGGTTATTTAAAATAAAATTATTTAATTCTAGGTATTTGGGGCTTTTCAAGATACTTTAATTGATTGCTAATTAATTTTGTGATAGTCAAAGAATATGAACTTTATGACCTATTACATGGTCTATCCTGAAATCTATTTATAGTCTATTAATAGCGTTATTCGTTTTATAACTATCAATACATTTTAAGTAGTTGATAGTGCCCTTCATATATCTATTATACTTTCTTTACTAATATTTGGTCTATGTTCTACTGATGACTGAGAGATGTGTGTTAAATTCTTTAGCTATGGGGACCAACAGGTGGCGTGGTGGTTAAGGCACTGGACTCCCACATGGCTGACTGAGATTTGAATCATGAACTTGGTAGCTTGCTTTCTCACTTTCTCTGTCTCTCTCTCTCTGTCCCTGTCTCTCTCTTTTTCCCCTCCCTC